TTAGAACCTTTCCTACACCTAGATGCAGCCACACACCAAAATGGAAAATGGTTGTAAGTCTGTTATTTTTCCGAGTTCTGCTCACAGCATTCATGGACAGATGAAGGTATTTCCAAACTCCCCTTTTTGCTCTGCAGCGGGGGACAATAAGTCATTGAGTGTTACAAGCATACCCAAAACCTCTGCAGGATGATTGTGGTTGTTCATTATTGTGGTGGCAGCACATTAGGGTCCTGGGTGGAGAGTACCTATGATATGGAGCCCATGCCTATCGTGTGGCTTGATCAACAACATTTATAGCAGGACTGGTCTTGGGGATGCCAAAAACAGCATGAAAAAGCTAATTGGAGAATACTAAGAGTGTAGCAAAGCCATGGTTGAATACATCCTGAAAGAGGTTTTTCTAATTTGTGGTAATTCTGGCATATTTTAATAGTTTGTGCAGGTTGTGGAAAGTGTTTTGCATCCAATATGAAGAGGGGTTGGGAAACTACACAGATAAAACTGTATCAACAAAAATATACCTGTTTTGTTTTATCAAACGCAATGCTTGCTTATAAAGTCTCTTGTGACCTAACTCTTTTTATGCAGTAGTTCTGGTGGAAAATGTCAGCTCTAAAGTATTTTAGCTTCCCCTATGCTTCTAGCGTTAGAGTTATTTCAAATAACTTGAATTAAATTGATCTTGATTTGATCAATTTTATAACTGACTACATAATCTGCAGCAGAAAAACACACAGGCCTACTCTACGTCACTGACATTGGTATTGGTGTTAGTTTGCTGTTTTGGATTTTATTAATCTTATATTTTATCAGCATCACACCCACGTGCACCGCTGGTCTGGAAGCGTTTAGATGGACGACTGGGGCGACTTGTTCCAATTTGGTTAATAGCGATGACTCTAAACTCGTAGTAGGTGAAAGGCTGAAGATGCAGAATGACTGAATTGAGGTTCCCTGGGTATGTCGACAGGTTTTTCCACTTTCCAGGTAACCAGTCATCATCATCGTACTGCACTAAGTACTCTGTCAAAAAGAATAAAATGTAGCTAAACATGCAGGTAAATTCAACTGAAAAACACTTTGAAAATCTAACAAGCGAAATATACGTTAATAACCTGTTATGGGGTTGTGGTTACTGTCTCCAGGAACCCAACTGAGCCGTACAGTACGTTCATATGGATCTGATAACTCCAAATCAGTAGGAGGGTTTGGACGGTCTACATTATAAAAGAACAATTAAAATACAACACATGCTGTAGAATTGTTAGTATATTGTTTATTTGATCTGTGTCCTACCCATCACCATCAGGTGTGCTGAGGCAGACTTCTGTTCCAGCTCATTCTTAACAACACACGTATAATTGCCTTCATCACCTCTGTTCACATTAGTAATGACCAGGTTGGATTCATCCAAAGAGACTCTGAGAAAGACATTTATAAAAAGCACTCAAATGAATGACATGAAGCACAAAGGTTACCTGTTGCTGCTCAAAAGACATACATTTATTCAGATATACAGTAGTAATTAAAAAAACCAACCTCCAATTAAGAGTGACTTCCATTTTGTTTTTCATCCATGAAGTCATGACAGGAGTAGTAGCATCTGCTTTTATGCCACACTCGAGGCGAACGTCACTTCCACGCATGACCTTCATACTCTGTGGCCTTGTGACAATCATTATGGGCTCTGAGAAGAATAAATGATAGTTCCCATTTTATATGTTTAAAACCCCTAATTTGACCATTTTCTGTATGCGTGACTGAGATCTTGACCTTTGACCTCTACTCGAACTTGGTCTTCATCTCTTCCTGCGATGTTGCTGATTACACATAGGTAAGTTCCCTCGTCTTCCATCCGTATGCGCTTGATCTCCAAAGTCCCATTACCGTGGGTCTTAAATCGATTTCCCTCAAGGGTTCCTTGTCCGTATTTAGACCTGTGTTAGTCAAACCCACAAACATTCACAGAAACTCCACTTTTCTCAACTCATGTTGTACATTCAATGATCAAACGTTATGATCTTACCATCGCAATTCAGGCACCGGAGAGCCAAAGTAACGGCACTCTAAAAAGGTGTGGCTCCCCTCCGTCACCTTGATGTGTTCATTCCTGGGCCCGAGAATACGTGGAGTTGCATCTAAAAAATCAGATAACAACTGATAAATGTCTGTGCATTTGTGCATCTGTGAATTAATGTGTTATTACTATAAAATATAGACATGCAATGTGCAAAATAACAGTTGTTCATAATAATGTTGAGTGTAATAATAGTTGCAGTTTTACTGTTGTCTATTTGATTTCATTTTATTTTTCACTTCATTGGTTTCTTGTGGTAAAAAAGATGCTAATGTAGATGTGCTTTTCATAAAATAATTGGTCTTTATACGTTCTTATATTGTTCAGTCAACACAGATTAATATGCATCCTCAACCAGAATTATTTCATTATTTTTTTAATGTGTGGAACGGGAAAATTTGCACACGTTGTTGAGACATACAACAGCATGCTGAGCATAAAAGCACATACAAGTGCATTTTTATTTATTGACTCAACAATTTATGTAGATTAAATGTTAAGAACTGAAGGAATCACAAAACACATACGCACTTTGGTAACAGCTGCTGTTTTAAATTTGCTTTATAAATAAATTTGACTTGAATTGACATGGCTGTTGTTTATTGTACATGGAGAAACTGCAGTTCCTTTAACAGTAATACATTAGCAAAATACTGTAGTTTCTGCAAGTGAATGCTGTGGATAACAACTTGAAATGTGCTTGGTATAAACCCAATTAATTTTTATTTTCATAATTATGTTTGGAATTGAACGGCTTCGGATGTTATCAGTCCATTAAATGGCCGTTATTAGTTGTTATCATTCCCATATGTAGCGGTGAGACTGTCCCACCTACGTCCTAGTAGGTTTAAAGGTACGTTATTATTGTTATTATCACTGATAATAGGCAGTGTCACACGGGGGTAAACCAGGAAGTGTCTTTTTTGTTTTTTTCAGCTTATGTAACCCTTTTCCTAAACCCAACATTACACCTGACCCAGACGACCAACCCTAAACTTAACCCCCTTACCATTGTGCCTAAACCTAACCAAGACCCTAAACCTAACCGCCAGACCCTTTACTGTAAACCTAACCACGTGAACAAGAAGGACCATCAGCCTAACAATGGATCATTAGCACACTGATGGCTGTTTACTGTTCACAGAGGGCTGAGTGATACTAGCAATCACAGCATTGTAAGAGGGGGACAATTGAACCCGGAGGCCTCCACCCCTGTTTAACGATGGACGATTTCTTTTCACATTTCTTTTTGGTTGTCAGCAGCAAAACTGGTTGATCCACTCTGAGACGGTGCTATTTAAGAGACTGAGCTGAATACAGCTCCTCAGACTGAGGAAGTCTCTTGGATGAGAGACAAAACGTTTCTACATTTTTTTGTTGATTTGCTTTGTTTTGTTTTTTTGAATGTCCAGAGGACCAGATTTAACTTTTTTAGACTAACCACGTGAAGCTATTATGAGCGCTAAAAAAGGTCAAAACGGAGCCTATTATCATCGCTAACAATGCTAACAATGTACCTTTAAACCCACTAGGAGGTACAGAGGGGCAGTCTGACCGCTACATATGGGGATGATAACAACTAATAACGACCATTTAATGGCTGATAAAATTTGAAGCGGGTGTGCAATTCCATTCAGAAAGGTCCGAAAAGGGTGGATAGCTCTCTTCAGGTCAGGGGTGAGGTTCTGCCACAAGTGAAGGAGTTCAAGTATCTTGAGTTTTTGTTCATGAGTGAGGGAAGAACTGAGTGTGAGGTTGACAGATGGATTGGTGCAGGGTCTGCAGTATTACATACACTATGCTGGTCCATTGTGGTGAAGAGGGAGCTGAGCTCTAAGGCAAAGCTCTCTATTTACCGGGCTGTCTACGTTCTTACCCTCACCTATGGCCACGAACTCTGGGTAGTGACCGAAAGAATGAAATCATGGATACATGCAATTGAAATGAGTTTCCGCTGCAGGGTAGTTGGACTCTCCCTTAGAGATAGTTCAGTTATCCGAGAGAGACTCAGAGTAGAACCACTGCTCCTCCACATTGAGAGGAGCCAGTTGAGGTGGTTCAGCATCTGGTAAGGATGCTTCCTGGGTGCCTCCTTAAGGAGGTGCTTTAGGCATGTTCAACATGGAAGAAGAACCCAGGGAAGACCCAGGCCATGCTGGAGAGATGTCTCTTGGTTGGCTTGAGAATGCCTTGGGGTCCTCCTACATGAGCTGGAAGAGGTGGCTGATGAAAGAGATGTCTGGGCTTTCCTGGTCAAGCTGCTGCCCCCGTGACTCGACTTCAGAACAAGCAGAAGATGGATGGCTGGATAAATCCGTTTAAATGTTAACTGATAACCATTGTCAAAATCCTGACAACCTATGTCTCAGTTATGACCTGTGATAGAAATGCAACACTGTGTATGGTAGAATGGTAACTTACGTAACACGTTGACAAATGCATTGGCCAGTAGGTAGCCGTACTGATTGGAGGCGTTGCACTGGTAGACAGCAGTGTTTTCAGATGACACAGTACGGAAAGTTATCATTTCTCCAGATATCTGTCTGTTTGGCTGCGGCGAAGCAGCTGAGAAATAACAATCACATGAGGAAACAAGAGTTAGTGTTAAATTTACTTAAATAACTTATTATGATCTAGAAAAACATACTCTCAATTGACTCCCCGTTAATGAACCAGCTGATTGTGGGACGAGGGGCCCCATCTGAACGACAAACCAGCCGCCCATTTTCCTCAGGGGCCAATATCAAATCAGTGGGCTTTTCCAACCAGAAAGGAGCCGCTGTTCAATAAAGAGCACATGCTTTTAATATAGAATAACATACAGCAAGAAAATACTCTTCTATATACAGTATATGGAAGTCTCACCTTTAACCTTGACAATTATGGTGTGCTCAATGTAACCTATCTTGTTAGTGGCAGCACAGGTGTATTCTCCCACATCTTCAAATGATGCCTTTGAGATCTGAATCATTTTGTTGAAGTGTTTTACTTTTAAGCGGGGTGTAACTGGTAGTTCCTCTCCATTCTTAGTCCAGGTTATATGAGGAGTTGGCCTTATTGACAAGAAATAAGGCACTGCATGACTTTCATAGGTTTTATAGGTTTCATAAGCAAAAACTGTCTTCTCGTTTAAAATCAAACCAAACAAGTGTTTTATGTCTGAAATTTGACAAAAAATTAAAGAATACAACATATTGTTTTACACTCACAATCCTGCAGCTATGCACTCGAGGAACAATTCTTCTCCTTGTAGTACCATGGCAGAGCTTGATGAGCCTTTAGGGGACAGCCAGGTGGGGGCAGCTTCAGCCACGGTGCGTGCTGTGCAGAAACCAAAGAATAATCAACACTCATGTCTCAGACATTTATTCAAAACCATATATTGTTTGTCCATGAAGCAATACAAGACAAACCTGGTTAACTCAAAAGAGAGAACAGAGTTGAAGTGAAGCAGAAACAAACACTGACAAGATGTTTCAGCTTGTGGAAAATAAAATTGGTAAAATAGCACCAAATGTTCAGCATGGAAAAAACAAAACAAAAAAATGTATGTCAATTTGCAGAGATTATGATAATTTTGAGAATTTTTAAGTTACCGTACTCACTTGTAAGCACCTTAACAACCACAGGCATCTTCTGCTGAATGACATTCTTATAGGGGAAGCGAGCATTACAGCAGTAATCAGCAGTAGAGTCATTAACCAGCACATTAGAGAAATACAGATCTCCACTGACTCCCATGGAAACCCTGCGGTCCTGCCGTACTGGCTGCATGGTGGGGAAAGCTGTCTGAATGGGCCAGTTGAAAGGTCTTGCATAGGAACCTGATATTAAACAGAACCAACATCTGAAATCAGTCCAAACTGGAGATTGTACAACAACCAAATTCCTCCTTATGTTTATTTATATTTCACCCTAGACTTTAGTTATCCAGTTTGCTGCTGTGTTGTAGGCACTCACAACTGGACATCCAGTAGGTTTCAGGTTTTGGTGGGCCTGGTGGAGGGTCACAGGACAGGACCAGAGGCAGACCAGCACTGACCACTACAGGCTCCAGAATCTCCCGTGGCCACACAGGAGCTCCTGCATGAACAAAAAGAAACCCATCTTCTCAGAGCAGCAGTCATGCTTTTCTTTTATTGGAAATGCTAACCAGAAAGAAAGACTATTTTTCACAAAGGTTTGGCTACAAAAATATCCCATAATGTACAAAAGCAGCTATAAAATAATCCTGTTCAGTTCTCTATTATGGATCATGAATGTTTTGACCTACATTATTTATATAAATTGTAAAAAGAATGGGCCCTAAAACTGAGTCTTGTGGCACACCATTAGTGACGTTAAAAAGCTAGACGAAGTACCGTTGTCTTGAGCGCATTGCCTCAGATCTGAGAGATAGTTAGAAAACAAACCAACAGTATTATCTTAGAAACCATTATCTGACAGCTCATGGCATAAGATGTCATGATCTACAGTACTGAAAGCTTTGGGCAGGTCTAAATAAAATGTTAACAGTTGCCAAGGTTTTCCAGCTTCAACAGTTTGTATTTTAAATCATTCAGTCTGACTTGTTCCATCTCAAACTGGTGCTAAATGCAGATAAAACCAAGAGAACGTTGTTTTCAAACAGAAAGAAAGTGCTATCAGCTCTTCCCCCTATTTCCATGCATGGTGTTCCTATTTAGTTTATGGATTCTTACAAATACTTGGGAATTTTAATTGATGCACATCTCTTAAGCAGCATTTTGAAAGCTTCATAAAGAAGCTGAAATTGAAACTGGGTTTCTTTTTCAGAAATAGATCTTGTTTAACTCTGAATGCCAGAAAACGCCTTGTAGCTGCTACTTTCCTATACGAGCTGTTGATTATGTTGACATTATTTACATGAATGCCACTGCCAGCTCCTTGCAGATGTTGGATGCCATCTACCATGGTGCACTAAGATTCATAACTGGTTATAACTACCGTACCCCTCACTGAACTCTGTATACTCTGGTCAGTTGGTCATCAATATACCATACCATCCATCCATACATCCATCCATTTTCTTTACCCGCTTATTCCATTTTGGGTCAAGGGGGTCGCTGGTGCCCATGTCCAGCAATCACTGTGCGAGGGGCGGGGTACACCCTGGACGAGTCGCAAGTCCATCACAGGGCCACATAGAGACAAACGACACAAACAACCATTCACTCTCTCACTCACACCTAGGGACAATTTTAGAGTTACCAATCAGCCTAACATGCATGTTTTTGGACTGTGGGAGGAAACCGGAGTCCCCGGAGAAAACCCACGTATGCACGGAGAGAACATGCAAACTCCACCCAGAAAGGCCCCTGGACCGGGGTTTGAACCAAGGACCTGCTCGCTGAGAGGCAGCAGCTCTACCAGTTGCGCCACCGTGCTGCCCTACCATACCATACCATACCATACCATTTTATTTATAGAGCACTTAAAACAGCGACAAGGCTTATTATCAACACATAGGCTCTCACAGTGGTTCATTTTCATCTATAAATCACTCCTTGGTCTGCTGCTTTCACATAACTTCTCCTACTTGTCACGTCATCAGTGCAGTTATGGCGTGAGCTCTCAGGCCTTCATTACCTGCAGCGTTCCCGCAGTGCGGACTGAACTCAGCAAAGAGGCCTGTTCTTATTCTGCTCCTGTAACCTAGAACACCTTGCAAAAAGATCTGAACCTGTCCAACTTAATTTCTTTAGTGGATTTTAAACATCCGATAAGGTCAATAGAAAAAAATCTATGCCAATATGTTCTTGTTTTTAGTATTTTACCTTGTTTTATATGGCATCTTGATTTGGCCATTTTTACAACAACTTTAATTTTTTGCTTTTTGTTGAATTATTGTTGTCTGAACTTTATATGTTGTCTATCTAAAACAGGTCTCTCTTGAAAATGCGTTCTCGTGACTCAATGAGACTAACCTGTACAAATTAAGGTTGAATGAATGAAAAAAGTAACACCAACATTCTTAAATTTAAGGAAATTAGGTGTGCCTTTTGCTATCAAAATAAATTTTCAATGGAAACATGAATATCGGAGGTTCCATTGTCACAGAGGATGTATACAAATTTATTCTCATGTGGGCCGAGGACCTGCAGATCTACGTCAACTAGAAGACACACACATTTCATTCTTTGACAGTCCCAGTCCTGGACTTACTGTATAAATGTAGTCTGATCTTGTGGGTGTATGCAGATCCATATTCATTGGAAGCGATGCACTGATACTCTGCCTCGTATTTCTCTGGATTGTTCCGGGCGTAGATGTCTAGAGTCCCTGAGCGCCTGCGCATTGATACCTGGGAGTCACGGGCCACATTGAAATACTTCCCATTACGTCTCCATGAGAAACTTCAATTGCGCAAAAGACAGAAAAGAATACAATGAAGTGCCGGCCAATAAGATAGTTAGATCAAAAAATTCTGCTCAGTGTGTTTTATGAGTCTCACATAGGATGAGGGTTGCCTTTGGCTTCACATTCTATGACCATGGTTTCTTTAGGGTCAACAATGTGCTCCTGCATTGACTGCTTTATGATAGTTGGGGGTTGTCTGACTGCAGGCAAATAAATAGTTTCAGATTAAATATCATATAAACAAAAACATACAAATAAACAGAGGTTTGTGACTCACCTTCTAGAGGAATGTCTAAAGCCCAAACACTCTGCCATAGAAGTAACAGCAGCCCTGGTCCAACCAGTGTCCTCATCTTTATAAATCATTTAGTCCAGCGAGGGTGTAGACTGCTAGATTTAATTCCTCAGACTGAATCAAGAAACGCAGACTTAGAATCAGTCATTTCTTCAAAGGTCATAAACACTTAAAAACATCTATAACGCCCCCCACCCCCCACCCCCAGTAAAATAAAATAAAATCACAGGTTATGCATCAGGATGGTTTAGATCCTTGGTTAATAAAACACTTTTATGAAAATTCCAGAAACTAATCATTGATTATCAACCAAATCAATCATTAGTCAACCAAATTCAAAATGGCCACCACAGCTAATTAACCTTGGTAAACACAAAAATGGCTACAGCTTGATCATTTAAAAAAAAATATTGTGCTAAGGTTTGGTGTAATAGTAGTTGAGAGTCGTTCACAAAACATATCCTGAGCACCAACAGATTGTGTGAGATCTTTCTTCAAAACCTTGGCCGGAGTCAACCCCGTCTGTCGATTTAACAATGAAGTTATAAATTTATCATCAAAATGTCAATTTAAAATACAATTTTAATTTGAAATGTGACTTTGAAAGTATCTGTATAATAGTCGCAATAGGGTCTGTTCTTTTCTTGGTTGTCTATAAAAAATAAACTTACAAGAGATAAACTTGTGCAATCTTTGTAAACCAAGAAACAAGTAAGTTATTAGCTTCTGCAGTAAAAAAAAAACGGTTTTATTTGTTAAAATATTTCACAGTTTGGCATCTTTGCATGCCATTATTTTGTTCCCTTTTCATCTAATAAAACATAAAAGGAGATTTTAACTCAAAAACAAAACTTTTTACTGTTAGTTGGTAAAATGTTGTCAAATATGTTTTCTAGTGAACTGTAGTGCATGAATTATAGGATGTATAGCACTGATCTAAATTACATGCTTCTCAGCCTTATGGGTTTTGTAAATGCGGTATTGAGAAATCTTTTTAGATCCTGAAGTGGACCAAATGTGCTAACATGGTTAATTTCTATTTACTTTTAAAGGCATGTGCATAAAGCAGATAATAAAACTGTCTCCAACAGAAAAATGAAACACTTCATCAATTGTTTAGACTGAACAATGGTGCAACATATCTGAGGTGCCCAATGCAAATAAGGGTCAAACAGACATCTAGATCAATTAAACTATAAGGTTAAAAATATTTTCTGTTTAAAGTAATCCTCTATGAATATATAAAGAATCGTTTGCTAAAAACAGAAGTGATGAGAACCTACCGCTCATGTAAAGTCAAATCAGGACTCGCTTTTCCCCATCGCCGTGGCCCCCCTCCAGGCATCAATAATCCAATTACTTTCCCCGGGAAATTATTCTTGTTTGTGCAGTATAGCAATTAGTGCCTCAGTCCTTCAAATATCAGGTCAAGAACCCTGGATGAGTTGATACACATCAGTAATTGAGTTTCTGTCTGTCACTGCCACTTACACTCTGCCCACCCATCTCATGAATAATGCACGAGCCCAGTACAACTCCTACACGTTGCCCACTCCGCTGCTCAGGTCAGGCACTCAGAGTTCTCATCGTCTTCATTAAATTCAACCATAAATAGATAAACTGAAGTTTGAGGAAATGTTTGAATATACCACAGCAGCAGCTGGAGGAGGATTTTTTAAATGTTTTTATCACGGTGCAGATTTTCTTCCAGCTTGATTTTCTTCCAGCTTGATTTTTCTGTAATGGCTACATAATGTGTTCGGACACAGCAGTAGGCCAAACGAAAGCACAAAACGGCCTGATTTCTGTCCTGCTTGCTTTCTCAATGAGTTGGGTGACATCAAAATGTGGGCTGAAGAATGCCTGGTGTTTGTTTCTTTATGAATTTTACATGCGGCATGCATCAAGTCACATGACATCCTGACAAAGACTGGAAATGTTTGCAACATATCTCAAACTTTTCCTGTTTTATTTTGTCCACAAAATTAAAATACTTTTTTGGTTAAATGAATTTTAGCAGTTATTCCTTGCAGAGGAAAGGATAAAAAGCAAATATTAACATTTATGGAAGAACCTCTTAGAGGAAAAGGAGACCGTTTTCTACAAAATGTGCCAAAGACTCAGTAGAAGTTCTACTTGTGTGATTTATAACTCATCAACTCATGGCTGTCGTCACAATCCTGACCTGTGTGGGCTTTCAGGCATTCATTCACATTGTGCTGCATGCGATGGCTTTTACTTATATTAGGAAATATAAATAAAAGGATAGGTTGTATCAGTCGCAATAAAATGTATAAAAATTAGCTTGATGCTTTTACCTTGCTTCTGATGCTGTTCTTTATTTTAACATCTGCAACACAACTTGACTTGGATGAAAATCCAGAAACAAACATATTAATCGTCTAGGTTCCCAGAATGCACTTTTCTTCCCACACATGTGGCTGTGCCAGGCCTGTGAGCGAGAGGTGCCATGCACCAGACTGCACAGTGAAGAGGCACAGAGGAGTATGGACAGTGACGACAAACACGTCTCTATGCTGGTGGGTCTCCTCTGGCACGAGTGCTCGGGGCTCGGGTAAAAGCAGATGGCATGTGAGAGGAAGCGACAACCCAAACAAGCTCTCTGTTCAGACTCGAAGCACCTATCACTCTCACTTTGACGTCACCGCGTCAGAACGAGCACAAGAAGAAGATGGAGATAAACTGTTAAATAGACCATTGTGCTAAATTGCATCATCATCGATGATGCGATCTGGAGAAAATCATCTCATGAAACAGTTCTAGAAATCCTGCATCAAAAACATGATATTAAACAGAAAATGTACCATTTAAAATTATATAAGTTCAATTTAAATACATATTGTGGCTAATGTAGCTGCTTTTGTTTCATTTTTATATAATTTATTCCATTTACTTTTCATTTTATATGCTTCTGATAGGATTGTCTATTGTTGTCTGTACCTCATCTGTGTTCTTTGTTTAAATCAGGTCTCGCTTGTAAAAGAGTCCTCGAGGCTCAATGCGACTAACCTGTATAAATAAAGGTTGAATTAATTAATTAATATTAACCCTTAGTGGTAACATTTTATTTGAAGGGGTGCTCATAAGACTGACATTTATTTTGGGGGACTCTGGATGAAGTTCAAATACCAAGTTAAAAAAAATAAA